GCTGGGGCACATAAAGTTCTCAAATTTGGGGCCTTGACACAATTTTCCAAAATATTTTTAGAATCAACTTCTGCTTTTTATAATTTCTACACCACGTATACCCATTAGATTTTGACACTATTTTTAACTACAAATAAACAAGAAGGTAAACATATGTATATTTTGACCATTTTCCTTTATATTAATCTGTAAGCACTGTTTAACCAAACACCTTATTTTTTTTTTGGAAGCATTTTTTGATGTATAATTATTAAACATCTATTTTCAGTAGCTTAATAAGTTGTTTATATAGGCAGCTTACAAAAGCAAGCTATTATAAGCCTCAACAATACCAAACTGATTCTTAGTAAAAGGAGATGAGGATAACTTGTTTCATCATGTGTCAAAGCACTAACAAAGGGAAGGGAATGAAAGGAAACATTTTCATAATCAAAACTCAATCGTTAATCCATAATAGAGCCAGACATCTTTTATGACTTATTCCCTCTCATTCCTACTCTAACAATGGAAAGGGAATGAAGGAAATGGTTTCATAAATTTTATCACATTTTAAGTTTCTTTTATTATGTTGATTATTACAAACTGGAAACTACTCGTTTTTTAATAGACACTCAAACGATCCTTTAAAATCATAGTTTTGACCTTGTTTGTAGTCTAAAAAGAACTTGCCCATGTCTTCCAAGTTTCAAGAAATTGATTAGAAGTGTATGATACATGCCCAAGAAGTGTTCGACAAATGTTTTAAGCTAAAACATATATCATATAATTGAGTATGTGTTTGAATAAATCTATGCATATATCCAAAGAGTGTCCATGAAGTTTGGGTGTGGCTATGTGTGGGGTACAAGTACGACTTCCGGGGTAACATAGCATTTTGGAAAAAAAGGACCCTTTAAAAAGCTGAGGGTCATGACAATTTTTTGAGATGTAAGGCTACTAGTAAACTATCATAATTATGATTATTATATTTTTAACTATGGATAATTATGATTTGATTAGAATTGCCAAATATTTATTATAATTAAGATTTTCTAGTTATGGATAGATTTCATTTGATGAGTTTTCTTAGATGAATATAGAATTAGGTGTCCATTTGTCGCCTTTTGATATGGCACATGGCAGTTTTTTATGTATTTAGGAGTACCACCAATTTCTTATCATATATAAAGGAGGGGTAATTATTGGAAATAATCAACATGATACTGCAACTGTATGTGGGTAAAATTGATTCCCGGAAGGATGGAATTTGTATTAATAAGAATGACTTATTACAAATCAATAAATCAAAATTACAACAGAAGCGAAGAGAATGCTCTTCTTGTTTAATGTGGGTTCTTCGGTAGCGATAGGATGCCACCCTTGAATGCTTGCGTCAATTTTTCTTCCCTTGGACGATCCGATCGAAATTGTGGTTGAGCTTCAGTACGCAGTAGAAGCTTTTGTGTGATTGAGTTCAATTATACACGAGCTTGATTAATATCAAGATCGAAAGCTTAGAGAGGGCTACAATGCAAGAGCTTGCAGAGAGCTAATGAGTCTCAAATCTGAGAGTTCAGATTGAGTCTACTTCAACAATCAAAGTTTATATCCAAGAATGCTCAACCACACAAGCCAATAGAAGCCTCTGCTTGAAGAGCCTAAACACCAGGAGCAAGATTGGACTCAAGACGCAAGACCCCTTTCACGTTGGCAAATGAGGTCTTTAAATAGGCAAGGGAAAGCCTGGTTCCCCCTTAACTTGTGGGATGTGACCACTAATATGTGAGGAGCACCATGCCCTCCCCTAGCTGTGGGATGTGACCACTATAGTGGTGATAGGAGCCATGCCTCATCACCCAGGACATAGGACGTGGGTGAGCCCACTCCTACAAGCAAGTAGCCGCTTGCACTGTTCAGGCGAGGCCGATAGGCTTGCAGGCAAGCTTGGATGATGTCTGAATGCTCAGGCAAGCTTTGCTACAGGCGACCAAAGATTAACTACAACACTCTAAATTTGACCCAACGATATTAGTTCTGACTCAACGATACTAGTTCTGAGGGGTTAATTGAGAAAAGTTCATAGGGTTAAATCAAAACAAAATTTCAAAGTTGAGATAGATTAACTACAACATCCTAAATTTGACGAACAAATATCTACTCATTTTAAATAGTGAAGGGGGGGGGGGGGGTTTTTTAAATTCCCCCATAGTTGAGGGGAAGTTTTCTAAAATTAACCCTTAAACAAAGCATAATTTAAGACACATGTGACATCAATCTTATAAGAGTGGATTTTATAGCAAGTCTATCACTATCTCTGAAAATCTTTTGCTACAAAATTCACAGAGATAAATTTGAGCTTTATGTGGGATGACTATGTGATCCTTATGGTTCTCCTTATTTTTTATGATTTGTAATAAATTATTTAATAAAATAAATTAAGCTGTTCATTTTATATGTCTCACATTTATGAAGCATATAGTTTGGATATGATTGTTATTAGATTCCCTTAACTTTTAACCTAAAATTTTGGATATTATTCAATATTTGATAGATCTAAATTATTTATAATCCATGTGTATAAAAAATATGTTTAAATCATTCTCAGATTATATTTTATAGTTTTCTAAAATTAGAGAGCAATCTTTTTGACAAATTAATTAATTAGTTGGGAAAATGTAGGAAGATTATTATATCAGATTTTAGGATTGGTCACATAATTTATATTTTCTTTCTTGATTGAATTTCACATTCTAACTTTAAAAATTCTAGAAAAAAGTTTTTAAATATCTATAATACTCGGTCGCTAGATAATAGAAAGTGGAAGTAGACAATAGGTGCGAGTGATTTATTTATAATTAAATAAAATCCTCTACAACCAGATAAAACCTATCATTTTATGTTGATGAATTCAAGATATATTTTTTTCATTAATAATAATAGTTTCTTAGACAGTAAGACTCCTATCAACTTAAGTTGATGTCCACCAAACTTTCTAGCCACTCATTTATTAATATAAAAAATATTTTAATATCATGCAAGGATCCATAGGCAATATGAGTGGCTAAAAAGTTTGGCGGATAGCTTTTTGCTATCCACTTAAGTTGACATAAGAATTGCTCGTTTTTTAGATATTGGTGCTTACATGATTACTATTTTAAAAGTAGAATTCCAAATCATTAAATTGCTCTTAGATCATTAATATCTTAAGATTTTAAACCTCGCTAATTATGTGGAAGATAAAGTGTTGAAACTAACAAGATTTTATATATTGAAATATCTGAAACTTTTTAATATATTATGATAATCATAAATTTTTTTACAACTATATTATAGTAAATACATAAACTAAAAGTCTAAAATTATAATATTTTCATTCCACCTAGTAAAGATAAATTAGTGAGCAACTTCAAACCCCTCCTTTATATATAAAAGGGTTTTTTAAGATTAGAGAGGAAAAAAGCTATTAATAGTCCCCTTTAAAAATTCCTAATAATTCCAAACAACCTCTTGAAAATTTAAAAATTATAAATAGTTCACTAAGATCCATACATTATAAATAGTCTCCAAGCTAAAATTCCAAACATGCCGATAAAAATCATAAAATTGTAAACAAACCTAAAATCAAAAATTGCAAACAAACCCCTAAAATCCAAAAATTAGAAGTAGCACCAATAAATTTAAACTATCCCCGTTAAAAATCTAAATTTATAAACAAACCTAGAAATTTTGAAATTACAAAGAGTCCTCTAAAATGTTTAAAAATTACAAATAACCCTCTAAAATATTACAAACACCCTTGAATGTTTTACAATTAGTCCCTTGAAAGTTTTAAAAATTACAAATATCACTTTAAAAATTCTACAAACAACCCTTTAAAATTTTACAATTAACCCCATAAAAGTTTCCAAAATATCAAATACCTTGCTGAAATATTAAAATATTACAAACAACTCCTTTAACAATTCCCTTGAAAGTATCAAAAATTATAAAAGCTCCCAAAAGAATTTTCAAAAAGCTCCCTAAAAGTTTTGAAAATCACAAATAACCCCTGAACATTTTAGTAACAACCCCTGAGCACTTTGCAACCAACCCCTTGAAAGTTTTGAAAATTATAAAAAACTCTCAAAAGTTCAAAAATTTACAAACAACCTCATAACAGTTTCAAAAACACCAAACACCCCCCTCCCCCCAGAAAAACATTTTAAAATTTGCAAATATTACTCCAAAAATTTCTAAAATTACAATGACCCCCTAATTTAACATATTATATTATTATATTATAATATATCATTACTGTGGAGAAGACATAAGGTGGGTGAGCATAATGGTCATGAGGAGTTCCATTTTCTTAATATTAGGAAATGGTGGAGCTTCCTACTACCTATATTGGGGGTTGGAAGAGAGTCCTAATCTCATGCATGTCTCAATCTTGGGCTAACCAAACAAGACCTTTCCCACAGTTAACCAATCACTGCCATGTTTTTTTTCCAAATTAAATCTCTTTGTTCAAAATTTGTGAGTTACTTAGTCTACATAGAAATATTATCAATCATCTAGCTTATTACACGAGAATAACTTCACGTACTTCATCGTATATGAAGGATGTATAAATCAGCATGAATAAACCAAAGAAATCAAAACAATTTGTGCGAGCAAAGGCATAGTTTTATCCAGACAAAATTTTGCCTAAAATGACACCGGGTCTAAACCTAGCCCTTGGAAACTATTTTCAAGAGTTGCCACAAACACCTGACTCAAAAATTAACCAGGAACCAGCAGTTGAGCTTCAGCATGCACCTCTTCCTGGACAAATCATTCACTGGACAACCGTTCTCCTCTCCAGCTATTGAACAGTTCAAAACTTTACATTTGCTACACATAAGAAAATTGACTTGCTAAATAGAAGAAAATTTATTCGAAACACATTTTTACTCTCCAACTGATACCAAATCATATAACAAAGAAAAGCAATACTCAGCAAGAGCACATATCACACGCCAAGGCAAAACAAAACATAGAGAGAGAGTAAGATACTAAACACCATAAGTTTTTATGTCAAAGGACTAGGATCACATAATTCACAGCGCTTTTAAACACATCATCCTAATTAATCCAACTTAGTTTCTCCATACATTACAACACCATAAGAAACATAGAACAGAAAGAGCTTAGTCTCAGTTAAAACCCTAGTAGTCAGAAAAGATCACAATCAGTTGTGCCTTCTCTACTTAGTGTATGTAAGAGGCTTGGTACTGAACTTGGTAGCCATTACCATAATATGTAGTATGAGTCGGTGAAATAGTGTAGGTTGCTGATGCCATCATCGGAGGAGGATGAGTTTCGGGTTGATACATGTATTGCCTCTCGTATGGATACGGATATCTTTCCGGTGTACGGTAGAAGCTCTTCTCTGGCGAGTAGTTGGTCACTGGAGGGTAGCTAGTGACTCGAGGATTGTAAGTGGTGCCATTGGCACGAGGCCTTTTGGATTGAGGCTTTGCAGCTTCAGCAGCCCTTCTTTTGTCGGCTTTGGCTTTCTCGAGCTGGAGGATCCTTTTCTGGAGTGGATCGGCAGGGTATTGGTCCTCGAGCTTGTGGTCTTCGATGCATTTGATGATGGCTTTGAGGGCGGAGAGCTCTCGTTCGTTCATTTCATTCTGAGAGAAGAAAGAGGTTAAAATAGACGCAATATCATAGAGTACACATACACCACAAATAAAAGCCGCTTGTTAGTGCCATAAGCAACATATTTGGTTACAGTGTCTATGAGAATAAAAGAAATTAGTTTATACAGTGAAAGAAGCTAGGTAAAACCTATAGCTAGGTTGTGCTTTAAAGTCCTTGACAAGCTAGTAAGAAAACCTATTAGCTTGTACCAGAAAACCCTTGACAAAGCACATCAAGAAGAGATTTCATGAAAATTCAGAAGCTAATTAACGCTTAGGAAACATAAGTTGTTTGCACATAATTCACGTTCACCAACTACAAGAGCAAAGTGCAATCTTGCATAGTTCATAAACTCCCTGGCTAGTTGGTGTTTCCTTGGAGAAAAGTGTAATTTCCTAGAGAAAAATTGGATATGAGATGACAACTCATTTTACCAAATGAACTGCCAAAAGATAGACTAGTGGTGAGATCGACCATGCTAGTCACATCGAAGCAACTGAACCTTGGCGCTTATTTGTATCTCGGTAGCTCATTTTGCTACAGAAGATATTGATTCCAATATGTTGAGGGTTTATGTCAAATTGACAGTCAACGAATAGCACCACTTTCATAGAGTTGTTGTCACCATAGCAAACCCCACTTTGATGGGAGGAATTTAATGTTGACAATGGCTAAGATATTGTACAAGGAACATTATTCACAACTTACGAGGTGACTGTAGAAGCTTGCTGGCTACAGGAAAACATGCTATAAAATATTTACCTAGTCCACAAATAAAAACACACCTGGGCACCAGGAGACATGCTTCCAGCTTTGACTTGAGAAGCTTTCCTCACCTCCTTCAAGTATGATTTCAGTAATGGCACAGGAGAAAATTGATCAGTTAGATCAAATGCATATGCCAAATTAACTCCCTCAATTTGTCTTCCACTGTTCACCAGTGATTCAATTACACCTGCCAAACCCAAAAACCTCATTTAGGAATGAAAGGAAGGGGAGAAAGCATTACAAAAGCAAAAAAGGAAAAAGAAATACATATCAATTTATGAAAAAAATGAAAATAACACAGAAGTATAGGTGGGATCAAGAGAATGTGTAAATCCTGATGCCACACACACCAAATCTATTCAAATAAGCAAAGCCACAGGCATACAGCACTAGACCAGGTTTAATCAAAGACCTCATATACACTGTCATACAACAACAAGTCAACAACAAATCCTTTATCCCAAATGTTTGGGTTGGCTATCATATACATGGTCATCATATTAAAAAAGAAAAAAGAGAAATAAATAATAAACTAACAGTCATGGTTAATTTGGAATTGAATTGAAGACAACTGTGGCCATCGAGAAAATCCATGCTTATGGGCAACACTAATGACAGGACCCCCACCCCCAAACCCCCAAAAAAAAAACGACGACGACAACAAACAAACAAACAAACAAAAACCCCAACCCAAAAAAAAGGAAAAAATAAATAAAAAAATAATTAAAATAAATAATTAAATAAAAATAGGTAGTGTGGTGAAAGAAATTCTAGGATATCATTGCAAGGTTGAGAGTGCAGATCCTAATGATATTCCAAATAAGGCTGGTTGGTTATCCATGGCGGACACACTAAAAATTGATGTTTCGAGTATAACCTAAAACGTTTGTCTTCAGTGGATCGACAGGCGTTCTCCATGTAGAAAAAAACATATAAACATGAAGAAAATAAAAGCCACTACTTGTTCAGGTCTTACCTCGAGCCATTTCTATTATAATGGACATCTATCATTTTACATGTAAATAATAATAATAAATAAATAAATAATAAATAGATAAACAAAAATACATAGCATGGTCAAAGACAATCTAGGATATCATTACAAGATTGAGAGTGCAGATCCTAATGATATTCCAAATAAGGCTGGTTGGTTATCTATGTGCTGACACCCTGATAATTGATGTTTTGAGTAACCTAAAATGTTTGGCTTAAGTGGATGGGCAGATGTTCTCCATGTAAAAAAAGAGTATAAACATGAAGAAAAAAAATTCTACTATTTGTTTGGGTCTTACCTCGAGCCATTTTCTGTTATATTGGACATCTATCACTTTACATGTATATGATGAATAAAATAGGGCAGTATGCTCAAAGAAAATATAGAAGTTTCAATTATTTGTTGTCAGCACACAAATAAAAGGCATGAAGCAAGGCCGACCTGGCATTTTTGCTGACAACCCAAGTGAACGGCATAAGTCAGCTGTTTGACGGCGTCGAGAGACAGCAGGTATCAGTTTGCAGATCTCTGCTTGATCATATTCAGAAGATATTCCAAAGGTGGCTAGAAGTTGCAGAAAAGCATGTGCTTCCAATGAGTTTCCACAGCTACCATCAATGTCGAGAGCATCTAATTTCGGCTTCCATTCGTTAGCAATCACCTTTGCCTGCTCTTTAATATCCAAGGTAAGCATTTTGTCATCAGAAAGAGAGCACGCTCCAGCAACTGTCAGTAATTGGCTAAGAGATTCCATCAACATGAGACAAGTCCTACGCAGTCCCAAAAGATTGGCATCTTTCTTCCCATCCATTCCTAAAATTTCTCCAGAGTAAAAATCTTTCAAGGAATCCAAAATCAGACAGAAAGGATTAGCTGCACTTTTGAGTGCAATAGGAATTTCCTCACGTATGGAAGCCAGATCCTTGCGGTTGTCAGAGATGAACTTATGGAGACCTTTCACGTCCATTTGCTCACATAAGTCCACCAAAGGGGAATTTAATTTGACGTCTACATCACCATTTTCAGCAGGCAGATCTTCCATATCAGCTTTGTCATCCTTGATATCTGATGTTTCAACCGTTGCCACAGGTATGACATTGCTCATATCATTAGAAACTGTCTCTAAAGGAGGGCTCTTGTACTTCTCAAAGATAGCAGATAGAATAGAATCCCTTTTCTCCTGCAGTCTATCCAGTGATGTCAGCTCCTTGGCCACAACAACAGCTTCCCTCTTCTCCAACATCTCCTGGGTCTCTGATACCTTGCTTACATATTCATTTTCTTGATCTTCCAACTCAACAAATCTTTTCTTCAGTGAGTTCTCAAGTCCATGAAAATGTTCTTCAAGCTCTTTCCACTTAAAATTCAAGGATATGGCACTATGACTTTCAAGTTCAGAGAAAGCCTGGTGAAGTTGTTGTAACTTGTAGGTTGCAGAATCAATTAAAGTAGCAACTGACTGAGT